TCAACCCATGAATCTGTTCCCGAATTATCTGTCTGTCCAGTTTGTCACTGAAATGTCTACCAGTACAGTTTCTCTTAATCCATCTAATTTTTCACAATCTGTCTGTCTGGTACCTACTAATGAGCCTGATGTTAAATCACCTGTCTGTTCAGATCCCACTGACAATTCTTATGTCGTACAATCTGCCTGCCCAGTATCTGTTTATGAATTGTGTGTTAGTCCATTTTCAGTCAATACATCCAGTTTGGAACTGTCTGCCTGTCTGACTTCTGCTCTTGAATCTAACATTGTACTGTCAACCCATTCAGTTTTTGCCAATGCCCCCAACTATGATCTGTCTGTCTGTCCAGCCACTCTTGAGGAGACCAACACCGAACTTTTAACCCGGTCAGTCATGCCCAAAGAGACTTTTAATAAGCCCGCTGTATTTCTATTTCCGTTCCTTGATGCCGTAAATGCACTGCTTGTATCTTGTATCTCAGTTTTCCCTAGGCCCCAGTACCCACCATGGGATCTGGATCACTCTGGTCCACCGTGGAGGTCTTCTGCTCCGCCCTGGTGGGCTTCTGTCCAGTCTGCTCCGTCGTGGTGGTCTTCTGCTCTGTCTGCTCTGGCCTGGTGGTCTTCTGCTCCTCTGTGGTGGTCTTCTGCTCCATCTGCTCCAGCCTGGTGGTCTCCTGTCCTGCTCTGGTGGTCTTCTGCTCTGCCATGGGGATCTTCGGACCCGTCTGCTCAGCTGTGGTGGTCCTCAGCTCCACCTGCTCTGCCGGCTCCACCCTGGTTCTCTGCTCCGCCCTGGCTTTCTGCTTCGCCGGTTCTGGCTTGGTTCTCTGCTCTGCCAACTCTGCCTCAGTTCCCAGTCTCTCCACTTCCACGTGGACCTGGCCCACCGTCCCTCCCCCTGTTCCACTTCTGCTCCACCGCCCTCCTGGATTATATTGAGTTGGGGGCGACTAATCACAAGCTCACCTGAAACCAATCACACACAGCTGCTACCAATAACACACACTATATAAATCAGTCTCACACCACCATTCAAGGCCGAGTTTTGTTTAGCGTTTATCACTTTGATAGCTGATAGCTACTTTACAGAGCCTGCCCTAGTTTTAATAGTCTAGTCATAGTCTTGCCTTGCCTTGCCTGTTTTCCTGGTTCCTGATTCTTGCCACGTATCTTGGATTAACCCTCTGTCTTGCTGTTTCAGACTGTGTTTGCACCTCGCTCACGTTTATGGATTACCCCTCTTGTCAAGCCCTCTGGATTACTTTTACTGTCATCTGACTCAAGCCCGTTTAGGATTGCTATTTTGTCTTGCCTGTGCCATACCTGTTTGCTGTTGTTCGACCCTGCCTGTGTTTTTGACTGTTTATTAATAAAAGCTGGCACATGCATCCGCATGCCTCTCATCTCGTCAGCTCCGTAACAACAAGGACACAAATGAGTCTGTGAATCAATCATTTTTGAACAGACAAACTGTCACAATATTAAAAATATGTGTGTGTGTGTGTGTATATGTATATGTAATATGTATATATATTATATATAAGTTATATATAAGTTAGTTGCTTCACTACTTTACTTTAGATCCCTTTTAATTTTAGTTTAGTTTTTTTACCTTATGACTTTTTAGTTTAATTAACTGCAACTAAAATTCATTACCAGTTAATCAAGCATTTATGGTAGTAAATACATAGGCTTAGCAATTTTTAAAATGGAAATCATAAATTATAAAAAGTAATAAATATAAAAGCTTGCACATGCATCCGCATGCCTCTCATCTCGTCAGCTCCGTAACAACAAGGACACAAATGAGTCTGTGAATCAATCATTTTTGAACAGACAAACTGTCACAATATTAAAAATATGTGTGTGTGTGTGTGTATATGTATATGTAATATGTATATATATTATATATAAGTTATATATAAGTTAGTTGCTTCACTACTTTACTTTAGATCCCTTTTAATTTTAGTTTAGTTTTTTTACCTTATGACTTTTTAGTTTAATTAACTGCAACTAAAATTCATTACCAGTTAATCAAGCATTTATGGTAGTAAATACATAGGCTTAGCAATTTTTAAAATGGAAATCATAAATTATAAAAAGTAATAAATAACATATTAACCCATACTAAATATGGTTTATGCTTTAGTACTGTGTTGGGGCATCACTTGACGTCCAGTTCGCAAACCAGTTGAGAACCACTACTTTAGCAGATGTCTTTTGGTGCAGCTCTTACTAATTCAACAGAAGCATTTCTACTATTTTTACTATGTGTTTCCAGATCCCTACTATCACTACCACTCGCATACCATGCATCACACACTGTAGGCAGCGCAATCCTAACAACCTGCGCACTTTGCCTATGCCTACTAATACACTACTTTCTTTTTCTATTGGTCTCTGGAATTGCCAGTCTGCTGTAAACAAAGCAGATGTTATTACTTATATTACTAGTCATTCGAGACGAAACCTCATGGCCCTGACAGAGACCTGGATCAAACCAGAGGACAATGCTACACCTGCAGCACTCTCCAATAATTTCTCTTTTTCCCACTCCCCCCGTCTGACTGGCAGAGGTGGAGGTACTGGTCTCTTATCCCTAATGATTGGAAATTTAATCCTTTACCATCTCCGAGTATCAACAGCTCCTTTGAATCACATTCAGCCACTATTACCCACCCTCTTAAAATCCATTTTATAGTTGTTTATCGACCCCCCAGGACCACTAGGTAACTTTGTGGAAGAATTATATGTGCTGCTCTCAACCTTTCCTGAGGATGGTACTCCCTTAGTTATGCTTGGAGACTTCAGCATCCACCTAGATAAACCTCAGGCTGCAGACTTCCACACTCTGCTTGCCTCTTTTGATCTCAATAGAGTGTTAACTACGACTACTCACAAATCAGGCAACCAACTGGACCACACACGACACTGCTCCACTGATCATGTGCTGGTTACTCCACTGCACAGCTCGGATCACTTCCTCCTCACTCTTAACCTCAGCATGGTTCCTGACACAACACATACCCCTCCACATGTCACTTTTCGATGTAACCTACGTGCACTCTCACCCTCCCGGCTATCTGCTATGGTTTCATCTTCGCTGCCATCTCTTGATGTTAACAGTGCTACTGATACTTTCTGCTCCACTCTTACATCTTGTTTAGACAGTGTCTGCCCCTTGTCTTCCAGGCCAGCTCGTACCACCTCTTCTGCCCCTTGGCTATCTGATGTTCTCCGTGAGCATCGTTCTAAGCTCAGAGCTGCAGAAAGAGTATGGCGTAAATCACAAAATCCTACTGACCTTAATGTATATCAATCACT